CCTAGTCTGCACCATGTACAGCTACTCACCGTGCTCAGTTTTTACTAAATTTTTACTTTCAGAAAAGAGCACAGGGATTTTTACTTACTATGTTCTGGCCTTGTAGATGTCTGCAACCCAGAGAGTTCTATAGCTATGCTCATTGAACCTCTGAGAACATCTTCTGAAAAACTGTGTCAAGCTGTTTTTCAGTCATATCAAGAACCAAGTATTTCTTTATTGATGCCTTTTGATTAAACCAGAGTTGTAGCCAATTATCTTGTACAATTGGCAAGCCCTAGGTTAGCTGAAGTCTTATACCGTTTTATGATCTCTCAAAACAATAAAAACCTCCTCAGACTTTTGTGCACTGCGTGTTATTATCTTGCAACTAATAGTTGGACTTATTTTACTAAAAATAGGTTTAGTCACTGACTTGAACAGCTGCAGAGTTCATTATGCTCCAAAACCTCTTCATTAAATGACAAAATTGTTTACAACCCTATCTTTTGCCAGAGTCAAAAATGAAGAAAAATTTATGAACTCGCATGGGATCCTGTAAGGATCTTCTCCTGCTTCTTTCCTCTTTACGATAGTGAAGTAGAGATCTAGTAAGAACAGGCAAAATGATTTTCAAGTTAGATGAATAGAGAAAAAGTTTCTAAACTACTGACAGGAAAAAAATGGCAATGTCCATATTAGGTTAGGCAAAGGCTCCTTTAATTCACTGCCTGTTTCTACTGAGAGCAGTAGCAGATGTTCAATGAAAGAATAATCAAAAACAGCATAGAAGGATTGTCCCAAGAGATACTCCACTTACATTAAAGAACTTGTAATAATAATTCAGTGTGCATACCTTAGTTGTGCTCCACAAGCAGACTTTCTCTTGTGGAGGGAAAACCATTTCTGTCCATTCTAGCCTAAGTATACTTCAGTCTCCTTACAAACACTGTTTTTTTTGTAAATGAGCCTGCAGCTTCTGTCCTTGAAGTATCTTCTCTAATGCTTACATGTATAATGTACTGAACTTGCCTGTGGTAGAAGTGTTTCCAGACCTCACTGAAATGTGTAATATCTTTCAGTACCATTTATTTGGTTTCCTGGAAAATCCCAGATGCCAATATTACTTTATGGCAGCTTATTAGATTTATGCAGTTCCTTGTGCAGATCCTGTGGTGGTAAAACACCTTAGCTTCAGTCTGTACTGGCAGTCTGTCCACAACATATCTAATTTACTAAATATCTGATCCCACATAAGCCAGGCCATGAAATTAAATAAATGTTTAGGAAAAGAGTTTATTAAAAAAAAAAAAAAAAAAAAAAAACAGTTTTACAGCCACTCAAGACGGGGTCAGTCTTAGGTGTTCACCCCCTTATAACTCTTACCATGTTACAAAATGGTCCATAAGCTACTGATAAAATGGTTTTATTTATTTTCAGCCTCATAGCATTTCTCTGATGACAAACAATATTCCTTTTATTGTTCAGTATTGGTTTTGGTTTATCTTTTATTAAACAATTTATTTATTAAACAGGTATATCCAAACTCTATCAAAAGTCAGTTTTACTTCTGGACATGGAATAAACTGAGTTCTCCTTTCCTTATTTATGTTTCACTTATAACTTTTTAATATGGTATTACAGACAATCCTCAATGTCTGTACTAAGCTCATCTTTTTTTCCAGAAACTTTTGTTCATGTCTGTTTTCATTACCAGTTATCTAAAAGGACTGCACAGTATGATAATAATAACAATAATAATATTTTCATGGTGCTACACATGGAGAACTAAGTTTGATATCAGGAAGCTGACTTTTCCTGGTGCAGTAAATCGTCTCTGAGGCCCTCTTGAACCACTATCTACCTTGCAAACTCTATCCTTCTCATTCTAGGTATTGTGAGTCTAGCTTGTAGAGTAATTATTCCAATTCCATATTTCTGGTGTTGCTAGCACTGGTAGAAAATGGGAAATTATGCATGATTATTGGTTTCCATTCTTGTATGGGCTTTATAATTGAAGAAAGACAAACTAGCCAAGGAGTATTATTTACTACAAACAGTTTTTCATGTTTCCCAGGTTTATGGATTATTTTTTCAGGCACCCAAAAGGGATAAAAGCACTTCTTAAGAGAAATGATAGAATATACATGTGCAGAATATGAATAAACAGAATACCCAGACATGAAGGCTTGAAACTGATAAGAAATACCTGTTTCCCACGATAGCTGCTTGCTGTACTTTATATAATCTTTCTGGATTATATAAAACAAAGAAGGGAGGTTTGTAGATTCAAAGACAATACAGATGGATGATGGACTGACTTGAACATTTTGAGAAGCCCAAATGAAAGCCCACTATGAAACGCTACAGTTATGTAGGACCACAGAGATCTGTTGTACTCCTTCTATTGTACAGTGTCTATGTTTACAATAATGAGTTCATTCTGCAGATTAATATTTACAGATGGGTGAATGGTCAGATCAATGAAATCCAGTATCCTACAGGACTACTCTGAAACATGTGGCATCACTGTTTAATAACCACAAGTATATTTAATATGGGTAATGATCAATTCCCAACAAGCTACAGTCTCAAAATACACTACTTGATTGTACTCATCATTTAAAGGAAAAACACAGGTGGTATCAGGACGACATCACATAAATGAGGTGGGGAGCTGATGATAGTAACCAGCAAAATAATATGGGATTAATAATCACAATACTTGAAAGATGAGGAAGAAGAGAGAAGATCACTGTGACTACCAGGGGTGACAGCACACTATGTTATATGGTACATATATATTATAGAAGACAGCCTCTTCTGTGTTCTGTCTGGCATATTTTTCCTTGACTGCTTAACCCATAGTGAATATTCTTACTACGTGCTCACCCTTACAGTTGGACTGCTAAATATTCAAGACAAAGTATTTTACATTAGCCTTAAAGTTGGCTGAATCTTTATGTTCTGCTTTTTTTTTTTTTTTTTTTAGCTTTAGTTTGAGTGAAGGAGTATAGTTGAAAGATGATCCACATTCATTTTGACATACTTAACTTCAGTGAATCGTAGAATCATAGAATCATAGAATCATAGAACGGTTTAGGTAAGAAGGGATGTTAAAGTTAGGCATTGGAATGGGTTGCACAGGGAGGTGGTGGAGTCACCATCCCTGGGGGTGTTTAAGGAAAGGTTGGACGTGGTACTTGGGGACATGGTTTAGTAGGTAATATTGGTGATAAGGGGATGTTGGACCAGACGATCTTGGAGGTCTTTTCTTACCCTTACTCTTTTCTATCTCTACACTCCCTGATAAAGAGTCCCCCTCCAGCTTTCTTGTAGGCCCCCTTTTACATATATGTACATATAGATAGGTACATAAATGTACACTCAAATGTACATACACACCCACACATAACTCTATCCTCTTTTATTTTGAACTTCCCTGAAAAAATTCCTTCTATTTAATTTGTTTTCACTGCTTTTAACTAATGATAAAAAACTTGCAAAATATAGGACTGGATTTAATTGTTTGACATCAATGCACTGTAAACTGAAAAACAAATTATCAATACTCATTCACTGCTTTTCTTTATTCCTAAGTAAGCAGCAGTTGATTATCATTTGCCATATATATTAGCTGATAATGATAGATGTTCTGATAATATGAGAAATGTAATTCAAAAATATATTGGAATTTCATGAAGAATTTTATTCTTGCACTGTGAAGTTAAGCAAAGTAGTAGAATACATGCAATTATAGGAGACCATAATGCATTGGATGCTTTTAAACAGCCTCACCCCTTATACGATCTCCTATTCCTTTTGTAATACATTGGCATGCATACTGTTTTGCTGTGGAATGTAATTAGGTATGGTACTCTGTGCCCAAAGGAATTGACAATTTGATTTCATGCCTGTCGTTAAGCATTCAGTCTGCAAAATCAACTCACAGTTACTACTTCAATGTTTAGTAAATGAATACTAATTCTTTTTTGTTCCTTATTGCTGTGACTCAGGCACTTCCACTATGATGTTCAGTATATATATAATATTTCATGTATGTTTCAGAAATGTTCAACTTCCACAAACGAAAAATATAGTTGTTTTTTTGTAAATAATGGGAGCATAAATCCAACTTTAGGCTTAGATTCAAGTTCCTTTATAAGTATAGTGTTACATGATGGTCAGACTTGATCTAAAGGGTCTTTTCTAACCTAAATGATTCTATGATTCTATACAATTAGATGCTTTACCAAAGCTGAGAACTCTCTATAATTTACTATTTTTAAGTTGTTTTTAAGAGAAGGTTTTTATTGCCAAAGGAAGTACAGACTTTATTATCTGACTGCTGCTAGCCAACAGAAGTTAGTTAGTTATGCTTTTTTCCTATATCTCTTTGCTATTTATTTGAATTATGTCCTTTCTTAATAAGACTTCTACTTTGTGGGGGGGTGAGGAAGAATGGAAATTAGTATCTGTTGACAGTGCTAGAAATGCAAATTTACTAAAGTTGAAATACCATTTGGAGATTAATTTCAACACTTTTTGACCCACATTTACTTTTTATTGTAATGATTAGGTCAAGTGGTTGACAAATTTGTATGTTCTGTTAAAAACTTCTGTTGATTTCCACAAGCAATTATCAGAGATTACATTTAAATGTAATATTTTCATAATGAATCATAGTTTTAATTCTTTATATGCTTTATTTGAGCTCAGTAAGTGATTTTGTCATGTTGCATCGGGCATGGGGAATGGGAACCCTATTGCTAGTGGAAAGAATATCATACACAGGTGAGTTAGAGAAATCCAAGGACATCTGACTTAAGTTTATCAACCAAATGTGGTACTATATGTGGATGACTGTTCACCCCTCTAGTCTTCACCTGTTTGAAAAACATCTGGCTAAACATCATAGCAATTTCTAATGGAATACAAGTATACAGAAGAGCAAAATGAGAATTCTTTCTTTTAAAAATCACTGTCCTAAATGCATGAAAATTTTTTCTTCTTATTTTTAGATCATCTTAAAATGCAATTCTAACTATGCCAAAGTCTCAGAGACATCCCTTCAATATTCAGTAAAGTTATGCCTAATGTGAGCAAGTAATTCCTGGTGGCTGGTGCCAGCTTCTGTTGGTGAGTCCAAATTTGCAGCACCATCTTTTTTAATTCTTCACTTTCTGATTTGAGAAATATTAACTGTGCTAAACTCTACACTCTGAAAATACGTTTAGAATATGTAAAAGACAATAAAAGTCATCAAATCACTACACGTAATTACTGTTCATCAGAGAACTGATGGCATCTAATATAACATTTAAATGTGTTAGCATAAGCCAACGCAAACATGAAATCTCACTAATGTAAAGTAAATAGTTTGTCAGGCTAATGAATCAGTCAATTAAATATTATACATATATATATATATTAATTCTGCATGCTAATGACAACTTCATTTTTGAGCCAGGAATAGTGAGTGATGACGGGTTGATGCCAGGCATTGAATTTAAATAGTGAAGTAATATCCTCAACTTAATTAGTCATCTGCTGCTACACATGGCATTCTGCTTGATAATGTCTAAAATAATAAAATGCTCTTAAAGACAGCATGGGAATATGAGATTTTTCTTTTAATTGCAAAGATAAAAAGAAGGATGTGATATGCAATGCCTTCATGCAATGAAAAAAAAAAAAAGGAAGACAAGTTTTTAACACTTGGTATATGTATTAAATTGCTTCTTTAAGAGGATCTTTATCTGCTTTTATAGAAGTCCTCCAAAATCAAAGAGAAACCTAAAATTTATGTATTTATTCAACCAATAAAATGATAAAGTATTTCACAATCTGCAAATCACGGTTTGCATTCCAGATCTACTTTTATTCTAGCAATTTATTTTACCAAAGCTATTCTTGTCACCCCTAATCTGAAGAGAACATGCATATTTTGCATATGCAACATTTACAATTTCACAAAAGGTATCTACTTACAAGTCTGTGATTCAGCAGCAGATATGTGTGCATGCGTATTTGCAAATGAATGGAAAACTTAACTGGAGAACCCATATTCCAATAATTTTCATGACTTTGCATGCTTCTCAATTTTACATCTGTAGTTTCCTATGTCTCAAGGCTCCCTGTGGGAGCTCTTTGCCCACTTTATCTAAATTTACTTTGGAACTACTTTTCAGCCTAATGATCTGCAACAACCTGTGCTAGAAAATCAACAAAGCTTTGATTGTAACTTGAAAATATCACAAGTACCTAAAGCCCCTACTCATCTTCCAGGGTATAGTAAAACAACAGGAATCCTTCAATCATATTGCTTACTTCTTTAATTTAATATTTCTCTACATATGAAAAAAAAAAAAAAAAACAAACAGGAAAAATAAAAGTAAGATTTGCTTATAAATAAACTGATTTTGACACTCCATTTTATAGAAGCTTTGTGAAGGGCAGCTTTCTAAACTACCATTTAGCCTTTCTGATTATTTTATTTTCAGAAGAAGGTGACTACAAATGGTATCTTTCACACTCAGAAGATAATACAGATTGAACTACCTAATCTTTATGACTTTGCACCACAGATCACAATAAACAGGCTACTCAAATTATTTTTAATTTCACTGGTCTCTGCATCTAGTTTTAAATGTTCTATTACATCTGTTGCACAAAGAATTCCCTGCAAGCAGCATGGGAAAGACTCTGACCTAATTATTTTAGAAATAACTATGTAGAAACATCTAAAAAGATTAACAAAGGAAATATTATGTCACTACCAAATTATTAACTAAAATAGCATGAAAATCACTGTATAATTATCTGAGTTTCCATAGAAACCATGTTTGATGGGTAGCCAAGAAGACTTCTGATTGGGCTTTTGTAATTCTGCTCTGCCCTACAATAAACATGATTTCTGTTCCGCCTTCCTTAAACAACTCACCAGTTTTTAGTAGCTTGTATCCTATACTCTTTAAGCAGCACTCTTCAACAGTTTTGATCAGCCATATTGTTTTTTTAAGATCTGAACTCTTGAACTTAAAATGTAAAAATCTTTTTTAAAATGTATAATGACAAATACCACTCTATCATCCAAATGAAAGAAGAGTATAAATTTATATATGACAATTGTAGCAATACAATAGTTGCATTAAAATAAGCAAGGGCATCATTAATCCATGAAACTTTCTTTTTATTACATTTTATCATTGTAATTTTTCATTACCTGTTCTAATCAAGCTTTCTGAAAGGCTTTGGCCTACAAGTACTAATAGTACTAACTAACGTAAGCAAATGAACCCCATTGCTAGCAAAGGTGAGAAAGATGTGGCCCATCCAAGAAGACCTTATTCCACTATAAACAATAGGAGTTTTATATAAATTTTGTTTCATTTAAATAATCTAGACTGTCAACTACTTGTGGCAATACTGTGTTTTCACATGCTTCTGATAAAGCAGATTTTACAAAGCTACCTTAGCAATTTCTGTACCTAACAAAACATATGCTCAATATGCATTTCTGACAACTGCACAGTTTCAATTGGGGGTGGGGGGGGGAGTGGAAATGGCTATTGATCTGAAAATTTTAACAGAAAAATTATCTTTAAATAACATGCTTTTAGCAGATCCAGCAGACTGGATCACAAATCAGCTTTCTCAGTGGAAATTCAAACCTGATTAAATAATTCTTGCCAACATATGCTTGAGAAGTGATATACAGAGTATACAATAGTAATTAGCTACTAGCAAACTTTTAAAATCTGTGACGAAATTAAAAACATTGGACTATTTTGTCCTTTTGTTTTCTCTTCAGGATGTAAAAATGTCATACAGTATTCTTTGCAGTAAATTTTTGACTTGAAATACTACCTCTGGCTAAATTTATCCCTTTTGCCTGTTCATATCTATCATACAGAAGCAAAGAGCTGGCCTTGCTGAAAGCTCAACAGTTAACCTACAGATAAAAATGTGCTGATTCATGTTCAGTTATCCTCAGCTATCTCTGCCACTTCATGGCCTGAACCAAATACCTGAAAACAACATATATCAATCTATTCATTAATTGTCTTGGCTGATTCCATTAATTATGATATAAAGATCACCAACTCATGACATCCATCCAAGATGCAAAGCAGTTACTTTGTCAGTTCATGACAAACATGAACCAACAATGTAATCAGCAGTTCGCTTTACTACTTAAATGTCTGTTTATAGTTTAAATCTCAAAATACCTATTTATTGGTTAATTTAAACAAGTGAATTTACAGTTCAGGAATGCCTTTTTTGTTGTTTTGTTTTGTTTTTCAAATGGCATATATGACCATCAAAAAGTAATATTGTTACAGCTTAAATGATATCCAGGTCCTTTGTTGGAAACAGGCAAGTTCCTGACAGGTCTGATTCATTTCAGAGAGAGAGAAGAACAACTGCTATTATTTAATACTTTGTGGGATTCTTGTAATAGTTGAATAATTTATTTTTTATTATTTACAGTTACTTAGGCCTTTCAATTAATGTTCTAAAATATTCTGGGACATAAATTCCACAATTTCTGTTTAGTCCTTAAGATCCTGAGACTTGATGGGCTTTACCATTTGAAAATCATTGGATTTGATCAAACTAAATGACATAATCACAGTTTAATTTTGTGCTGTTTTTGAATGCAACTAATCTCTCTAAATCATAAAATGAGATTGGACCTGAGCACTGGCTATGCTGTACAACAAAACATTACAGCATAGAAAGAAGTGTAGATACAAAAAAAAATTAAAAAAAATTAATCTACATTACATAATCCACCAACACTCTCTGAGTTCATCCTACTTAATGTTAGGCATCTTTCTTGGAGAATTGCCATTATCAGCTCCCGCTATAAGCAACACAGAAGGGCAGAGAATTAGACCTGCATGTAGTGAATTAGTTGACTTCAGATCTGCACTGCATTCTGAGGTGGCTGCCTCTCTTATTGATAATACAATGAACTGGAGCATTGAGGTGCCCCGTTCTTTTTAACACTAAGTGAGATTACTCCTTTTTTTTTTTTTTGTCTTCTGTAACACTAGTGTTCAAAGTCTGAAGGTTTGCCTTGTTTGGACTAGGTTGTTGTCTGGATATGTTTTCATCCTTACAAGCAACTTATTCCTACTGTTTCCTCCAGATGAGAATTTTTAATTGACTTTGTGGCTACAGTATTGGCATACTACAGGTATTCTGTAAGTGAGTTTGTGGAAATATCGTCATTTTCTGACGTTGAAAGCACTGAAGGAAAGGTAATGTTAAGATTTTCCTCAGTGAGCTTTCAATGAGTAAAGTTTGTGCAGGCTTCTTACGTTCTTCAGCAAGAAAAAAAAATAATCTGTTTGTAGCCACTTTTTTCACAAGCTAATTATTCTACACTGGTAGTATATGATTAACATTGATTTAAAAAACAAAGTAAGTCTTAATAGATGATTCACTGTGTTATAGAAAGATGCCTGAAATAGTCATTCACTGTTATTTGTAAATTGTAGAGTTTACAGAAGTAATTAGTATTCCATTTGGCAAGCAAATGCAAACATCCATTAGCTAAATGACACAACATATACTTTGACTAAAAGTCTAACAGTAATTGCTGAACATTTTGTCATACAGGTGGGCACTTCTTTTACTTAGAAGATCACTGTCATATTTAAAGAAAGATAAATTATTGATAGCCTAACATATCCTTGGAATCAGAAGATTTTAAAATCCCTGTAGGTAATCTGTAAACGGCAGATACATGGAGTTAGGCTTATGAATTTGCTAGTCTGCAGATGAGTTCTACCCCCAGATCCATAAACAATTATCAAAAATCAAAGAACAGCATAGACCACAAATCTTGTTATGTGATTACTGTTTGTTCTGTAATAACACCAAAAATTGTCAGCTGTGTGCAAAAATGTAAGAGCTTTTTCAAGCTAAATTCTAAGCACAAAGGACAGCTTGAATAATGACTTTATAAATATTGTAAAATATATATGTTTGTATATATATACGTAAAATATATGTATTTTTTTAAATATTTAATCTGAAAGCTTATTTTTGAGTTATAAAACATTGGTTGGAATGTATCACTACCACTTACAAGACCTCTGAATTGTAACTGATGTTTTTGATGATGATGCATGAGGCAGAATTTAATTCATTTTCTGTGGCTTTTCTGCTAGCTATCAGAAGTTTGATTATTTTGAAAGCACATATCAAGATAGTAGCAAAGTTGATGAGGAAGAGCTACTTTTATGTGTTTTTCTTTTTCTTTTAATGTTTTCTATAAATATTGCTGCTTCATTTCAACTAGCGTAAGTAATTTCTGTTGAGAAAGATGATCAATCAAATGGTAGCAAATGTGATGCTATTGTCTATATATTAGACGGGAAAATGTACTGTTCTTAAACACACTTAATCTTCTCCCTCCGTTGTAAAGCAGTGGGAGGTCAGGAGGTCCAGCCAGATTCATCTCCAGAGTCCTGGCTGTGCTGTGGCATTTCTAAATGATGGGACTAAACATTCCCTCCACATTTAAGAAAGAATTATTTCAGCTCTGCCTAGACAGAACTAGCATGGCATGTTGCTACTCACTAGACTTGCGTGCACACACAGATCAGACAGAAGTATCTCCTGACATAAATAACCTCTTACTCTGTAAACATGTGGGCTCTCAGAAAAGTCTTTAGAATACACTCTGCAGCAAAATTGTACTTTCAGAATTATCTGTGGAAACATGTTAGCTCCAACAAGCTGGTACACATCCAGCTGTTTTGTACTCCTTGCAGAACTGTAGTTACACAAGAAAGTAAGCAACTCTTTCCCATTTCAGGTACCTATCAAAAACAATATTTTAAAGGTATTAAAAACATACACACACAAAGCTAAAAATAAAAAAATTAAAAAAAAAGGAACATGTCTTTTAAACGTGGACTAATTACTTGATAGTGCTTATGTTTCAGCATTAATTTATTTTAAATTTTCTCATAGAAAGGATCATCACAAGTCTTACAAAAGCTGTCAGTCTCACTTAAAGCAGTAAGAAAGCAGTTTTGCTACACTTTCTTAGTGCACCAGACTAACCAAGAAGGTAAAAATAAGTAGAAAGGGGAGTCCTTCTGTTCTTCATTCCATCTGACTTCTTATAAAATGATGTAATTCCCTTAAGAAGTTTAGTGCCTCCTCCTTCTATGTGTCTGCTAGAAAAGGCGAACTTTTGAACAGAAACCTGTGTTGTAAAGTTATATAGACTTCACTAGTACTGAGAAGGTAAAAGTAAGTCTGTCAACCAGCAACTACCAATTTAATTACAACTTAATACATACAGTGCCTGGAAGGCATTATATCATTTACTTTAAAGCTGGGGAGGTAGACATAGTAGGTAGACATAGCAGTGCCACCAAAAGCACACCATGCACATGTCTCCATAGTACTGAAAATACTGTAAGGGGAAAGTTCAAAACTATGGATGAGTGTAATTGCTCTGAAACCATACACACTGTATTCAAACTACTAAGCTAGGCTTATCAATTTTGCATTACTGTGCTACTTTGTGGATCAAGGTAATATCTCTAAATGTCACCAATATGTGTTTTTGAAAACTGGCTGATGCTAGTTCAAAACTTTTTTTTTTTTAATATGTTCTATTACATGTATAGATAAACCCATAAATAGTCCCATATGTGTCTGGGGGAAATACAGTCACTCGGTTACTGCTTGCTATTGTAGAAAGTACGAGAGAACAGCCTGAGATCAAACCCAACCTCAAGTGGGCAGATTCCAGAAACAGACTTTGCTTCTCCTTCAGCATGACAAAATTCATGTAATCTCTAAAAGATGTCTCCTAAATTGAGATACTCCCTCAAATTTACTATGGATATAATATAATTTGAAGACATTAAGCTGATTTTGACTGTTTACAAAGAATTTCTTAGGTATGTTTAAAATATACTCTGTAATACAAGGTCATACCTTAATAACAAAGGTATGACCTTATAATAAAGGTCATACATAGATGGGCTAAAAAAATATAAAAACACCATTTTTTTGTATATGTAAGCAATAGTAAAATATGCCTAAACAGAACCCCAGTCTTAGGCAAGCTTCAAATGCTTGAACATCTATTCTTGGTCATTCCAAAAGTACTTAATTTCCTTAGTTCCTGCATTAATGAGTATTCTCAGCCTATTTAGCTTATTTTGCAGTCTAGTGGGGTCAATACTAGGTCAGTATATAATGATCTGTAATGAGCTGCTATCTACAACTGTTGAGACCAGACATGATTACTCCAGGTGAGCTTGCATTTTCTTCATGTTTTACTGTTCTTTATTAAAATTTCTGGTGGTGAGCAGGATGTTCCATTTTAGCTGCATCTTCTGTACCGTATCAACCAGGAATGATCACAGTCAGTTCTTAGGAAATGTTGTTACTAGCTTACTAGAACTGATAGCATTTGTCATGGAATTGTATGGCCATAAAACAAAGGACCATTCATTTAGCCACTGGCTAGAACAAACTCCTCTTCCTGAACAAAGAATAGAAAGGGACAGGACTGAAAAAGGCCATGTGTTATTTATTTTACACTGTTATTACCAAAAGAGTTAGGAGGCACCTAACAGCAGCTATCAAGAACAAGCTAGAGAAATAAAGAGAAAATCAAATCACTGTCCCCAAATGACAGACAAATCTTTATCTGTGTGCTAACCCAAAGGCACTCTGTCTGGCAAAATACTTTGTACTTCCATTGGTACTCTTCAAGCAACTTTACCACTGAGAATGCACTCTTAGTATGTGTGTATTTCTCCCCACCCCTTTCTCCTGTGCTTTTGCATCATATGTGTTTCCTTCCTTAGAGTGAGAATAAGTCTCACTCTCATGCATGCACATTGTTTCCAAACCCAGAGTATCAAGACTCCAACAGTACTAGGTGCTAATTAACGCTTTCATTGCAAGCATATTATTCTTTTTATTTCAATGTATGATTCCCAAAATGCCTGTTTTATCATCGTGTACTGAAGTGAGAAAAGTCAATATATATAATAATAAACACAAAGGGATTTTGGCCACTTACCAAGTGAAGATAAGACACAGTAAGGTGGATATTAAAATGAGGACTTGGTTAAACATTGCAGACTGTGTACGTTGGATGGCTCTGTGAAGATCATTCTACATTAATGGAAAATAGCTGTTATTTTTGGCTTTGAATTAATAAATAAGAACTGATTCTATATAGTGGAATTATATAGTGCCCTGATAAAATACACTCATTCAAATGCACTTAGAATTTGCTGATCACATTGAAGAGTGCAAAAGAGACAGCTGTAATTTAGTGAATATTTAACTAGTTCTTCGTTCATCCCGGCACACTTTTGATACTTTTGGTACTATTGCAAGCTGCCTCAAGGTTTGTCTGCTCATATCTAGCTTACAAATTACAGGCTGCAAAGACCAGTTAAGGCATAGCACTTGAGTCCCTGTAATTGTATATGAATAGAGTAGCAAAAGAACCAGACATTCTAACTTTGCCTCATTGGCACAGTACCAATTTATAATAATTTGAGATTCCACTTGACATCTTTTTTTTTTTCTAATTTTGATGCAGAATGAAGCTTTAGCAATGTTTGACCATTTGTATAATGTAACTACAGATCTGGTTAGCTTCCTAACAAAGTTGGACAGTGGACTGCAATGCCAAAATCCCACTAAAGACAATATACTAAGAAAATAGAAAGTACGAATGAGTTTTTGTGATTTTGTTGTTGTTGTTGTTTTTTTGTCATACTTACAATCATGTTCTCCAAAGCGTGCTTTGCCAGCCAACAATTTAAAAATACAGGAATAAACAGGTTTCTTAGGACTGGCCAGAAAATCTGAAGGAAAAATTAACAAATTCATTAAAAGTTTCCTATTCAAGAAACTAGCAGCAATGAAACACTCAGTAAAAATATTTATCTTATTAATGTGTTTCTAGTATAAAGCTTTAAAGAACACTTTTTCTTTTTGATGAACTGTATATTAAACAATATGGTAAAATACAGAAAATCACTTGCCAGTGCAGACTCAAGAGATTCTTGGATTTTTATGTTTAGCTGGTTGTTTTTGTTGATTGCACTGTAATTTGAGTTTTGGGTCTTTGGGGTTTTTTGCCCCCTTTTGGGGAGAAAGTGTTATATATTGTTTTCATTTAAGTAGAAAACTGCCTTCTTCTTATTGTTGACTAATGTTGATTCCCATAGCCATAGATCTAACATCCATACAAGACTTACTTTTACTTCAATAAAGATTAAGAGTACTTGTGCAGCTATAAAAGTGTAATGTGCAAATGTATTAATTCAAATAGGTTTACCGTGATGATGAAAGGGACAGCATTTATTATTTCAAGTAGGAAGGGTATTCTCAGAATTTGTTCCCAGATATTTCCCTTCAAAGAAAAGGAAAGAAAAGGAAAGAAATATTTATATGTATATATGTGTGTGTGTGTGTATATATATATATATATATATAAGCAAAATAAGGAACATATGCAATATTCCAATGCCATATATGGAGTCTCTCCTAGTAGCTGAATTTCAGGAGGATGATTTGTCTCACAGATGTAAACACACACATGAAAATGTGAATAGAATATATGACACTATGGCCTGACTATTTTTCTTACTGTTATTTAACATAATTTACATAATTTAACTCATGTGTATACTTTTTAAATCTGTGTTTTTAATACAGCAGTTCCTTGCTTCCCTATGACCGTATATTTCCTTGCTATGACCTAGTTAGTAAGACAGCTCAAATGAAGAATTCTAATTGCATTAACTAGTCAACTCATTCTCTCAGCTCTAATGAAGAGCTTCATGAAATTAAGTTTTCAATTTTTTCAAAGAATAATGTTTCTGGTTCCTTCTATTGCATTTTTAAGTACCTTGGAATCCTACATAGAGATCCTGTTGCTGCTTTTTTCTTCTTCCAAGGTTGGCTTAATTTAATTTTTACATTACACTAACACAGATGAGGAGATAAGCCTCCTGTCCTACAGAATTTATCTTTTTAATAATTCTAGTTTTTCACTGAATCTGCATACAAGTCATAAGCTCATACAGCAGCATAGCCTGCTGGCAAAATTCTTCTACCTGCAATTATTTCTACTTAGAAGCGTCTAAATCTCTAAAATTCTGCATTGCAATGCTTTAGCTGTTTTGTGTGCTTTGTTTTTTTTTTTTTAGCTTTTGATTGCACCTAAAGTTTTTCTCACTTTAGTACTTATTATTTATGACTGCCTAAACACTAGAGACAAAGCTCCAGTGCAGTATAAGAATTGTATAGACACATATGCAAAGGATGTGTCCTACTCTGAAAATTTTCATTTTGATTATCCTTAATCAAAAGGACAAGTGACTGCCCTATGATCAAAATCAACATTTATGTAGAATGATGAGCCACATCTCTGTACATTCTTCTGATAGAATTTCAGAGCAGAATATAATGTAAAAGAGGAGTATAAATGTTTTGTTTTCCAAAAGAAAAATAACAGCTCATTTTATCTTAATCTTATTTCATTAGCTTCTGCATGTTAGTCAGTCACAGAGGTCTGCATGTTTGTCTTTATTAATTCCAATCCTACTATTAAGATAGTAAGATACTAATTAAGAAATAAGTATTAAAAAGAGGAATGCAGTTAAGTTAGGAAAAGATACCTGTACTCTATAGTGAGTCTTTCCATCCTTTGCATTTATTCTTTTACCTTTACTTTGTATCCTCTAATTCCCAACTGGTTTTGAGAGAGACGTTAAGGAAGACAGTCTAGTGTTTAATATATGAATTATAACTCCAAGATTAAAATTCTGTATTTTTGCCACAGACACTTCATTTCAGGGCACACTTTTTGAACCTCGATCATGCTTACATGAAATCAGAGGTCTTCCCACATAATTCAAAGGAAGTAGTACAGATCTCTTAATCTTTACCACTAGCTGCAGAATGAGAATACCACCTTTTCCACGTATGACCAGTGATTGTAAACGATTATATGTTTGGATGAAAATACATATATTTAAAAAAGAAGGTATTTAAAATAAAGTGACTTACAGGTTCTAACTCTGTATATTAACAGTCCATCATAGGTAATGCAATAACAATGCAGCATATGTAGTTATAATATTGCAATAATTTGCCAATACAGCATCATATTTTCAGTTGCAATTACATATTAATCTTTCCTGTTAAAATAACCGTCTGATATAGCAACTTAAAATTAAGCTGCATTGTGTATAACATTCTTTTTCTACTTCTATTTTTCCCTTTTGCATCTGGAAGCCGTTGTACCTATGTTGCAGAGATTATTTTCTTCCATGTAATTGTAACTGGTGGCATTTAAGACTTACTTGAATAATCTTTAATACTTTGTATGATAAGCAGCCCTATACGTAGAATTGAAGTTATGAGACTGTAAGCTGATTTTAATGGTAGGAGTAATAAAATGAAAAATTGATTTTCAAATTTCTTATATACTAACAACTAACCCATTCTGTGTTTTTGATAATTTCCTCATTTTTAATGTTAAGAGTTATCTGTTCTGCTTCTCGAAAAGCAGCATCACATAATTTACTTCTGCAGGTAAAATACTTGTGACGATGTGCTCTAGGGATGTAGTGATGCTTGCTGTCTTAAGGTTCCAGCTCCCACATACAAGTACATCATGTCTTCTGCAAAATTGGCCTCTTGTAGTGAGAGTGCACAGTACTTATACAAGCAGCTAAGACTGCTTGTGCACAAGTGATACAGGAGGATTGCCCAACTATTGCTACAAGTTTTGGCAATGAACATTTGTAATGTAGACATTTTTCAGAATTCTGTCCAAGGGCAAACCTTCATGTAATGTGTTAACTGTAAGAACATAGATTGTAATCCATTCTTTCTTGACTCCAAGTGTTTAGCGGTACAATACAGGGCTATGTTCTTTGCCTTTCTCACTGTATGAAAGGAATAAAACATGCAAATTCACTGCATCTTTGTAGCGTAATGTACTATTATGTCCTCAATATTCTGCAGGTTAAATGACATCTTGTGTCACCATCCAAGCATCAGAACGGTAAATTACTTGGAGTATTCTCTTAAATGACTGATTTATTTATTTCATAGATTATCTATGAAATCCTAGCAATATGTGTTTTTTTCTTCCTCCTTGCCCTCTGACCTGTGTCTAAATTCTAATAGCTTTGGAAATGGTAGCATGAAATTAGTAGTCTGTCACAGATTTACAAACACCAAGACTCCTTCAGTCTTCCTGGCTGTGTGGAAAGGCTTTACAGCATCTGACAGCCTTTTTGGCTTACTGAGACTGCTGTAAAACTGAGGTAAATGTCTCTATCGTGATGTTTCCAGATTTTAAGCATCAGGACAGGAATAAAGGGAAGGAGGTGTTTGCATTGGTAAATTGCCTAACTGCATTTCAGTACTATTATTCTTCCTTATAATATTCTTATTTCCTTATGGAGAGTAGAAATATAGCCACCCTAAAATTGCGTCAGATTACCTTCTCTGACAGGTATGTGCAGCAATTCAGGACCTGTACAGCTTTATATCCACTGTACAATAGTAAGTAACTTCTCAATGGAGCTGACTTCCCAATATTTCTCTCATCTTCTGTACTCATTGAAATTGGTGCATACCACAGGCACAGGGGATAGGGATCAAATGCTGACTAATACATTCAGGAACTGTATAAACTGCAATTGCTAGTCAAGTTTTGGCACTAAATATGTTAATTTAATATGGATTATTTCTGCCTACAATTGATTTGCATTTGTAAACCACAACACCTAAATAGCACATACTGCTTACAAGGATTAAGAAGAACAATTTTTAGCTAGCAGACAGTTTTAAGGCTCTCAGCGTTATAGGGCACTAAGGAAAACATTTATGCCTTGAAAAGTACACTAAAATACAATTCTGTAACTTCAGTGGCTCTTACAGCTACTGAATGGCAGTAATGCAGAAATAAAAAAACAGTGTTCCAAGATATTTTCAGCTTTGTAAACCAAGTCTTTTTGCATTAAATTTTATAAATTATTTAAATCTTTTTTTTCCCTGGATAGTAAAAATGCTAAAGCTCACTAGGATATCAGTTAACAAAATTAATTAATTACATGATGAAAATTGAATAAATATACTAGGAGAATATAACTTTCTAAGGAGAATGAAATACAAAAGTATATTTTATTCCCATTCTTTTATCAGAGGATTTCAAGGCCTAATGCCATCAGAGAGATAGATGACATAAATATGTAGATACCTAGGTAGTTGTAAAAAATGAAATAAAATAAAAAATACTGCCTTGGCCCAAGCCTTTGTTGTGCAGTTTTAGAAACCTGAAATATAAGTTATAGATAATGAGTAGGTACAGATTTGATATCAATGAGAATCACATGTCCATTGTATTAAGGACTCCAAACACATATAAAACTGTGCACTTGAAAATTGGTATCCCAAAAGCAAGATTTCCAAATGACAACATGTCAGTGAACAAAGTTAAAGAACAGAAATTCAATTACTGACTTCCACTTTCTAAATATTTACCATTTGCTTATCAACTTGGGAACCAAGAACAGGGCTGCCTGTCCTCCATATCCTGTCTTCTATATGTGTATTTTTCTCAAACTCTTGCTTGTACATCAATGCGGACTCAAATGCAGGCACATGAATATCATATTGAAATATTTAACTCAGTTACTTTTTGTTTTAATATGATTTTCATTGGAATTTTTACTGCAGTTTTGTGGTCTACTGTTCATATGTATATTAATAACATCAAAAGGAATGTTTCAGAAAACTGACAGTTTCTTAGCATATCTCTCTTGTTAGAGGCTGTGTCCCAGTGTTGGTAACACTGTACTGATTTGAAAAAAGCAGCACACCCTCTTGTTTTGGATTCAGTGGTGATGTAAGTCAGGCAACTAAAGTACTTACCTTGTAGCTTAGGTAACTCAGCAGCAGTGTTTCAAAGAGACTTATTAAAGCCACTGAAACCTTAAGAGGAGAGAGAAAATATTTATATTAATACTGGCTTCTACAGAATATGACATAAAATATCACATTGAAAAGAATAAGATAATATAAAAGTGTTTCCGTGCATCCTCTGAATTCATCTCACCTAACAGAATTTAGCATAAAGCTAAAGTAGTCATTTTTCTGAGTAAAGCATAGGCCATGACTTGAGTCCCATTGCTCTTTTGCAACATAACATAGAATCACAGAATGGCTTGGGTTGGAATGGACTTAAATATGATCTAGTTCCAAACTCCCACCAGAGGCAGGGACACCTCCCATTAGACCAGGTACTTCAAAAGATCTCCAAGCCCCACAAAGGGCAGATGTAATGCATTTTTTGTAACATACACCTCTAAACATATGGCTTCCACTATGAAGTAACCTTAACTTTCTAGTATATTTAACATGAAAGCCCAGGAAACATGTGTCATGAAATGCTAATCATAATGGATTATGAAATTTAAACTCATCATTATAGAAAATATTTATTGCTAGACTCAACAGAGTTACATAATTCTAAAAGAAAAGGCTATCCCAATTGTACAATATTTTGTTATAAGCTTTAATACTTTATAAATATATTGTAAATTTAATTCAGTTAGCTCAGATCAGCTCATCTTTACATTATGCTTTTGTTGTATTTGTAATCAAGTAGATTTCTTTAACATTAAGTCTTCAACATATCCTTTAACATCACTAAAATGCTGTAAATCAATATTGCCTATAGTTATTAAATGGAATTATAAATTGGCCATTTACATATTACCTGTAATCCCCATAAAGGCAAACTTCGATTCACCCAAATAATAGGAGACCTGTTCATTACAGCACAAAAATACAAAAATAAACAAAAACTGGTTAATGTTTTGAAAAATTATATATGTCGATGGAAATTACAGCAACCTTATACTTAAAATCTCAGTAAATAAATCAGTAGCTATCTGAGTATTGTCCTTCTTTGTCTTTCTAATCCAGAGCCAGTCACAAAGTTCACATAGGAATAATCCAACACCCAGTAACATCAAAGTATTTTACTGTCTTCAGTGGCTGCTAGTTCATCTCCTATGATTCTGGAAATAATATATCAATTTGAGGTTTTGATTCTAGAGATGCAGAGGAATAATGACCTGTTCCGGGAAAAAGAAATTTGGCAATTTTTACATTTGAATTTTTTGTTATCATCTCTGTAATGGTATAAATGGTAGCTACATCATAGGAACTGTCATATCTTGGAAAAATCTTATGTTGTTTTAGTATTTACTAAACCCAATAATACTTGATAGAGCTCTACTGAAATCTGGCACCCTCAATGACACAGTAAGTTACGTTAGTCATTTACTCTTAGTCATCGTTTTTTTTTCTAAATAATAAGGGTGTTTTTTATTGCCTTTTTTTTTTTTTGCGTTTTATTTTTCAGCAAGATATAAGGATTGCAGGAATTCAGATCTTGCAACAGCATCCAATCCAACAGTTCAGTCACACAATCAGAGAAATAATTAGAATTTAAAACTGGATTTTGAATATGTAGGAACTTGAAAATGCTTGAGAGTTATGGGAATGTCACCATTATTTGTTAAAATGTCACCATTCAAGACAGAAGTATATTTGTCTTCCTGCTCCCCTGCCCTTCCCACTATTACATAGGACTTTTGGTTTTCTTTTTCAAACTAGGTACTCACCAATCAATTGTTCCAGGTGTGTAGTTTTGATTAGAACAACTCCGGTTTAATTCCTTACTGATAGTTGTCATCACATCCATGGAAAGTTTATTTTCATTAGCACATATACATGAAAACACAATCATAAAAATATATAAGGAAAAAGCATACTAGTCACATTATTAACAGTGATCTGTAATATACATGCAATAGTTTGTAACACTAGACAATGGATATAGACATTTAAAAATAATATTTTTTTAAAAGTAGTTCTGTATGTGTTCTGTATCCATAGATAAAGACTATAAAGCATTTTAGATTACATCTTTTAAAGACATTTTCAAACATGATCCAATTCAAAAACAATATAACAAAGTATGCTTTCAAAACCTGAGCTAAGTACACAATAGATATTAAAGATCTAGACATACTAGGAACCCTACCACACAGGTCACACATGTTGGGATAGAAAGAGCACATACACTTGCCATACACTCAACAACAAAGACTGCATCCAACTACTCTTCATAACCTCTTGTGAGGAGTTGAGGTGGGCTAGGGTTTCATGAAGCAGTAATTGGAATAAGAAATTACTGAAGGCTGGTGACCTTGATGTAAAAAAATATATAAATAAAAATAAATCTGCTACGTACATGTGATGTTCTCTTTTCTTTGAATTGCTGGTACAAATCCTTCCTTCTAACAGTCATGTAAGGATGTGGGAAAATATTTTTGTCAAAATGATGGTAAATATCCTTGTTTGTCCCTGGCAAGCAAGGTCAGCAAAAAAGAAAGGAATCTGTGGACCACAGATAAGTAGTAGTGGTATTTTTACTGACTATGAGTGAGACAGATGCCAAATGGTGTCCATTAATAAGGACACTTTATGTCATAAGAACTTCTCTGTACATCTGCTGTGCCTGAAGGAGTAAATGAAAGACTCTAACTTGTGCTAGGATTTCTGAGACAAGCAATAAATCTGTAGGGAGAGTTTGTGATGAAAAGCATTCCTCCCAGAATTGTCACTTTAAAGTCAACCACTTTAACACAATGTACCACATGTACCACAACATGATACAATAGAATAATATATAGAAAAGATAAATACACTCTCTGGCTGGTGACTTATTAAACATTTAGACTCGAGGAACAAATACGTTAGGAAATGCCTGGAGAATTAAGCAGCCTACAAGATGAAGAAAGATCTCTGCATATGAATACAAAAGTATCCAAGTATACCTGCCAGTGGCAGAAGTGGTGATGTTCTAATCCATTCTACATAGTCAGCCACAACATTGCTATGTAAAACACTCATTTGGGCTCACTACAGTTCTCAAAATAAGACAATATAAGCAGCTTCTTCATGCCAGAAACCATTAGCCGCAAAAACATATGAACTATAGTGTTGTTTTTTTTCACTAGAAAATTGCATTACTTTAAATTGGATCCATGATGTCCAATTTTACTTTCTGTTACCCAATTGTGCTTCAAACTTCAACCCCAAGTGCATTACTTATTCAAAACCAGAAGAATAATGTAATTGTTTCAATTTCTACAAAATCCCTTCTGTAGCCACAATTATTTTTAAGTATATATATCTTTCAGTGTTTGAATTTGACATTTTTTTCTAAAAGCCATATTTGTAGTAAAATGCACATGAATTAATACTGCTCTTCCATACTGTTATGAGGCATTATAAAGTATTGCTCCCTGTGCAGACTTCTCAACTTAATGCTCAAATATCTCCCTCGTTTCACATTATGTCTTTTAAAATCCTGAGTTTTTACTGCTTCTCACTGTAGAATAGCTAATAATGTCAAGTTTAAAATCCTACATAGTGATTTTATTTTATGAACATTTGTTTACATTTTTTTTTAGTCAAAGTATTAGCAGCAGTAACTTCAACAATCTTTTGAGAGTCGTCTCTGAAGATCATGATCAACTTACATCAGTGACTACCAGTTACATACATCACACTGACAACACATACTCTGAAATAACATGCTAAGAGAGGACAATTGACTACATTGTTCAATGATGGACATATTAGTCACAAGAAAAATCAGCAGGACCTGATCAGGATTACATAGGACTGCTGAGACTATGTGTCCATGCCCCAGGAAGTCACTGTGACCTTTGCAATTTTTTGCTAATGTGGTCCCTATTTGATTGCTATGGCCTATTGAGAATATTAAAACCACATTTTGGCAAACTCATTCTGAATGAAGTTTAGGGAAGTTTACGTACAGGCACATGAGACAGGCAGCAGCGTCCACCAGGCACAAGCAGGTAAGTTAATAAAATGGTGCTTATTAGCACTCACAATTTAAAAGATTCATTATATCCAGAATACAAATACAACTGAAGTACAGGATTGCAAAAATTATAAATATCATTTCTTCTATAATTAATAATTGATTGTATAAAACATGAAAAAAAGCATATCAACTGACCCATATAGAATATCATACTGCCAATTGTAGATATGCAAAAATCATCAATTAGAATGACAGAACATGAGCATATAATGTACCTTAGGTCTCCCTCTCTTCTAAGCGTTTAGAGAAAGTAGAGGGCTAGAAAATTATCATCAATATCATTTGCATGAAAGCTCAGTTTCATGCATTTGTTTGCTTGACTGCAAAATCTGGGATTTTAAGTAAGACAGCTAACATTCTAATATTTGTGTCATAGATAAGTCATATATGATAAACTATCTTATTGACAAATAACATTGAAAGGACTTTCCATTCTGGTGTCTGAGAACAACTGCAGAGCAACACACATATTGTTTGACAGGAGACAATAAACTACTAAAAAACTACTACTGATTAGTTGTTTCTCTGCCAGCTGATGCACCAGAAAGAAGCTGCTATATAGGGACATTTTATGCACAAGAAGAATGGTGGCTTTTAACAGCTCTAAACCATTCCAGCTATTGTGGATAATAGTTCCACTTAACTCCTGTCCTATGTTTTATAACCACAAAAAATAAAATAATACATATCTTGTAGAAGTATTCTCTGGAAAACCTTTCCTTATTCCCTCCAAAGTACTGTTCCTCATTCATCTGCCCATTTTCTTCCTGGCTTGGTTCTCCCAGCTATTCACCTAACAGCCACTGTTCTGTACGGATCCTATAATACTTTTACAGTACTTTTGCATAAACTAGTATTCAGGTGTCTGTAATTTCATTTTTTTATATAAATTAAAGCACAAATATTATACACAGAAATGTTATGTAGTAATAAAACCAAAAGATAGATGTTTGCACAACTATGTCTTTTGCACAGTATCTGCACAAATAGCCAGTATTATTTTATCAGTAAAATTAAAAGATATTATTGTATTATTTCCATTCAAAATGTAAGACTAGTTTTATCGTTCATTCACGATATCTGGAAGACATAGAACTAAATCCCTGTTGGCAGGATACCAAACATTTATTCATACAACTAATTTATTTCATGTAAGTTAAGCAGTCATTTGAGAGGACAAATAACAAAACAAATATTACCATCCATGTCCTTGTGCTGGATCATCTAGAAGCACACGAATTATGTATAAGAAACAGCTTAGTAGCTTGAGAGAAAAATTGAATAATCGTATTCTCAGGCCTATTAAAAAAAAAAAAGAAAGAAAGAAAGAAAGAAAATACAGAAATTCAGACTCTGTTTTCACTCACTTTTAAGGTAGACCTAAAAGGAATTAGAATAGCCATGCTGCAAAGGTCTAGCCACCCACTAACCTGTCCCTGATATTGGCCTTTGGCATATCATACAGAAGAATGTAGCAATATGCCTATATACATAAAGTACCTCTTTCTAGCTTCCAGAAATCTCTGGGTTAAGTTTTGGTCTGTTTAATGTGAAGATCTACTCAGTCATTTGCTTCAAAGCTATCCTATGATACTCATCTTTCCTGAGGCCATTCTTTGGATCTTTTGTAGCTTTACGGATTTATTCTCAGAACGGGAACCAGAAGGGCATATAATATTTGAGATGCAAGATACAGTAACATGGAGAGATACTTTCAACCATAAACAGAGGATATCCAATGGCAAATATTTAAATATTAATATCTGAAAATCTTCATGAAGTAGCTTCTCATACAGAATATATAAATACTCTCCTAATATAAAATATTAAGTTTTAGTTATTTAACATTGAAGTTGCATAATTACACATCCAAGAATCAGGACACATGAAAGTCATGTTGAATGCACAACTTGAAATGCATCAATAACTTGTTCTATGGACCATGTGAATAGTGAAATGTCCTAGCTGGTAAGTCTCAAATACTAAATGCTATCACAAAATATTAAGTATATCTCACAAACATAGGTCTACTGCACAGAAACAGGATTCCTTCCAAGGGATCCACTTGGATTGTTGGTTCTATCACATGGGCATTTTAATTCAGTGCTAATATTGCTATTGTATATTACAATGAAACTTAACTTAATCAGGTTTCGCAATCATTAGAGTATTATAGTTTAAATCCTCAGTCTTGTTATTAAGTTCATTGGTCTTAAATGTAAATATTTACCAGATATTTTCATCTAACTCTTGCTTTTAAGTTTTCATTCACTAATTACGTTAAAACTGTTGGTTGTCTAAGGTTAAATGGTAGCAGGCAACCTTAAGAGTTATTTTTTTTCAGTCATGTCAACCAAGAGTCCAATTCCATGCAGTTGAACCCTTCTGTCCAAAGCAGATCGCTGATTGAATGGGTCTCACACAGATCTGATTTCATTTGTACCTAGTCACAATAAAGATAGGATCTTTTATTGTTGTGTTGCAAACATGTTAGTAGGCCTGCTAGACTTTTCTTTGCTTTGAGAACTACAGGTTTATTGTGCATATCCAAATCTGTGTGCATACATTCCCTTTAAAAGAAATAACTACCTTATGGTTTTGTTACAAACTTTTTCACTTCACTCAGCCCTCTGTTCAAAATGTACACCTTACAGACAATACTGGAAAATCACCCTTTTTCCTCCTAGGTCCATTTCCATTAAAACAAGACAAATAGCAAATCATAGAAAAATAAAGACTACATTCTTAACTATTGTAACATTCATTTGCTAAAAGAAACCTGAAAATTTATTATGTAACACTGTTTATTAATGTAACTGTGAAGCTGCAATTATCACATGAGAAGTGGATGGACTTTTACAGCATCTCATCTGTAAACTAGGGGTTAAAATTCTGTGCCTATGTCTTGACCATGAGAAGTCCCACAGCTGTTATTGGTAATTAGGTTTGTGAACATTAACCTAAGTGATTCCTGCTGTTTTATCAAGCCTAATTAGCCACAGACTATTTATTCCCCAAAGCTGAGTGAAGACAATGAAATAGTAAATGTATTAAGGGGATGTGAAAGGTAGGTAAGTGTGTTGTTATTGCTGTTATTTTGCTAGTAAGTACCCTAGTACTTTTTTTTGGATTATACTAGAATTTTTCCCATATTTTTTTTTGACCCCTTGGTGAAGAAAATGTCAATTGTTTGTCTGCATTAACAATTTTGTGTAGTCTGTTAAAGTTACTAGTTACTGTAACAATGAGGTACTTATAACAACAGATTTTGCCAAAACAATAACAAAAACACTGGATTTCTTTGCCCTATCCATATTGTGTTACCTAGCTTTATTAGGTAAGTTCAAAGGTCTTTCACTTGTTTCTTCTATTCTTAACTCTGTAATATTAATATTGGTCTTAAATGCTTCTCTTCTACGTTGATAATGTGCCAACTTCTACTAATCATTTGAAACTATACGTTGGTTTCAATTCTGAAAGAAAATAATGCTTTTCTGATTAAAAACTAAATCAATGCATGGGACCTACGCTCCTGGCTGCTGTCTTAAACTCTCACATTTTGTTCCTAAGAGATCTAAAACTACTTACATATTCAATATTAAAATTTCCCAGATCTATTCCAGTCTATATTTAAGTGCTTCAGGCTCTGGATGTCTCAACAGGAATGGCTGTTTCCCACAGAATGAGGCAGGGTTTTCACACCACATATGGCTTCCATATAAGGGCTCTTGTTAGCATAGACAAAGTATCATGGAGTAGGTTATATTGACAAGGTGATAGGATAGGCCTATCATACAAGATTGGGTCAGGCACTACAATATTAATGCGGAAGAACAGACCAAGTATATCCTCTGTTTCAGAAAAACACTAGTTCTGTATGTGTCAGCCTCTAGAAATAGGATGTGCTGTCAGAGGGTGTGTATTCAGTCACTACTACTAAATCTGTAATAGCAAGTGTGCATACTAAGTAAGTGTTCTCTGGTCAAAGTACCAGAGAACAGTACTCTGTAGCCTCAGAATGTAGGGGTGACACCTGTGAACTGGAAGAAATGTGTTTATTCCACTATTACTGAGTTCTAAGGTTTCAAATCAGGGAAGGGGTAGGTATTAGCTAAATGGTTGGGCTTAACTTTTCATTTCTTACCCTCTTAAAAAGAAAGTATTTTGTACTGCTGTTTGTTGGTTGACTATTTTGGTCCTCTATTTTACATGCTGTCAGTGGAGCAACATGGTCTGCTTGACTTAATTTCTTTTTTCCCCATTCCCAAACAGACTGTTCAAGTAGCAGGGTCATTTGCACAGAATCTCTATTTTGATGTTGGTGTCTGAAACTTGTATTCAGCTACATCAATCATATACTGTTATGAATTGTTTAATGAGATTATAACTTCACCGTGTGCCTGTAACCATAGCAATAGATGCTTTGTCTTCTTCAAAAGAATAAATTGATAATAACAGTTCAAAGTCTGTTTGTTTTGTGAAATAATTATAACTACATCAAACGTTAATGTTTCCTCCTCAGTTTGAAGAAGTATCTGCTATCTTTCTTGCCAGCAGTTCTAAGTATAGACTGATGCATCGTACTTAACCAGTACTGACTGTAACTTTGATTTTTGTTTATTATAACTTCTTGACGCTTCCCTTACAAGCATTTTCAGAGATTAATCCTCCAATTTAGAGACTGGATCTAAATCAAAGCACAAGTGACAGGGACAGCAGCTGAAAATTTTACTCTCACATTCTATTATTCCCTCCTTGCAATTCTGTAAAATAGTTAGTTTTTAGCAAAATCATCTTACTAGCAGTTGGCTTTAGGAGTTGGATCAAAGAATACTGTTAATAATTCATACCCTGATGACCGTTCATATCCTGATGACAGTTTTATTCCCTCTCCACTGAATTGAAGTTTCACTCATCTTTTTCCTTTGAGACTTATTTTAAGCTGTATGTGATCACAGCAAGTGCAAGCAAGTCTTACAAGTGTGTTATTTACTGGCCAACAGCTTTTGAAAATGCATTATGTGTATTGTTTGGACTTTGATTATAAACTTGTTTGCAAAAGGAGTGAGTGGTAACTAGTTTGACATTAGATTTTAGTTACTGTTTTTACTGGTTTATAGAAATACCTTCAAAATTGGAATAATGATTGAAACATATTTCATGCTACTGGTCTTTTGATGACCAAACAATTTATATTAATTTTCAATTTCTAAATTCTGGGGTAATATTGCTAGACCAAATGATATTACTTCTTGTTCTCTGGTCTAAACCTACTTGAAGTCTTGAGAATTAGTGAAAAGTGTTTAACTAAATCAAACTCCAGAAGTTAACTATAATGTCTGAAAATTTGAGGAAAATGTGTCAGTAGAATCAGCAAGAATGGGAATTAGATGTTTGGTATGTGAAAGACGGCTTCCAATGTTTTCACTGAATTCTAAGATCTAAAGGGTGATGTTCTTATATTTGAAAACATAAATGATTTTTTTTTTCATAAAAACTTCCACATTATTCTCTTCTGTAGTCCAATACTTCTCCAATCATAACCTAGGAGAGATGTCCCAGTGTAATAACTTAAGATGACTCTTTTATAGTGCTTAGCCAGAAGGGTAAGCACTTGCTAAAGTAATTAGCAAATTCACTAACCAATTAAGTAATCAATTGACTAACTTCAGGTTTCATTTTGTGCTGCTGTTAACTTATATTTTTAAATGTACAATCTTCAGTTCTGCCATCAAAATAAGTACTTTTTTAATCCTGTTAAGATCTAAGGGGGGGGGGGGATTATTGACCTTATCTCAAGCAAGTAGGTATTGAGAACCTTCCTATCTTATCAGTGAAAAGAGTTTTACAATGACTCAGCTCTTAATTTTGTAGATGTTCTTACTTAGTAAATAGGAGTGCATCAAATCTGTTTTGTGGACTAATTCAGGGAACAAAAAGAAGACTATTTATTTCTTACTCCATCTCTGGCCAGGAGTAGTATTTTTTTCTTAGTTCAGAATGCTTTTCCTTTTTTTGTCTCTTACTCCATTACACGCTATATCAACTACCTCAAAGCATGAAGACTATAAAGATATTAACTACTTGAGACTGAAAGTCACAGGGCAAAAAGTAGAGTATAACTAAAACCATTGGAGAAATCATAGTGCAATTAATTACACTTAAAATGTAAATTTAATATAACTTAATAGCCCCTAACTCTGAGCAAAACTTCATTTAAAAAAAAAAAATGCTCTTCTAAATATAAGTGTATGAAATTGTTCTTCATGTATCTCCTTTCTTTGTGATGTGCATGCTGAAATCTCATACACTTTCCATATTGGCCAAAATATAATATAATAGAGCTCGAACCTATGCTAATGCAGAATTACTCAAGTTAAAATTCTTTACTGGAAAACAAATCTACCAACCTAATCTAGTAAAATATATAACAATGTGTTTAACACCAAACAAAAATAAGCTACCCTATGACCTATTTTAAGTTTAGAAATGAAGATACTTAAAGGCTACCCAAAGTACTTGCTAGGAAAGTAAGGCCTCTGCTTTCTACATTATTTGCGTATCTGAGTTAAGGTGACTTTTCCCCTATGCTGTCTTCATTATTATATGAATATTTACTTTTTTAAACTTAAGAGATTTTTCCCATCCCTAAGTTAATGAACATCCAACAGGTTTGTTAGCCTTGATTCTCCAGATAGAAATCTGCAAATAATTCCAAAGATGAAATTCAAAGTGTCAGTTTTACAGTACAATACTTTTTTGAGGGGGGCTTAGTATAATATTTTGCTTATCTCAATTTGAAAGCTAAAGAAGCCAATCAAAAGATCATGTCTTGTGATTTTAAACTATCATTTATTTAATAGTATGTCTCATATCTTGTGGCCTGTCTTAAAAAAAAAAAAAATAATAATCTGCATCTAGTTTCTCCAACATTTCTTAAATTGTGACACTGAGAAAGTCAAGTTCATTCCTTCTTCCCTTCTGTCCTTTGTCAAACACAATGACATGGAGCCATCCTGAAGACCATGAAGACCAAAAAGCATTCTTGTTATTTTTAAAAACTCGCATAAAATGTGTAAAACTACCTAAAAAACTGTTGTAATCTTAGTTCTTTACAGGTGTAGGGTAAACGGAGGTGGTCAGTCATTTTATACAGATGAAAACTGAGTTCAGCTACTGCTCTTCTCAGTTGTGAACTTACTGGTTTAATGAAGATTTGGTAACATATACAAGGTTTTATCTCTGTTGAATCAGCTTCATGGATGGATGAATGTCTTAGTTTTTCCTCTATGATAGCTTACAAATTTAAGTGCATATGTCAGTGAAGATGTTTTTAAATTAGACTAAAAAGATACTACTTTCAGGAAAACTGAGAACTTGGTATATCTTTCCCACAGTTTGACTTCCAAATCACTTTTTTTTTTTTGTACAGAAAAGATCTGATATTTATTCAAGAATACTTAATACTACTAAACACTTTTGCAGAAGCACACGTTTTTGCTTTCTTCAACACTTTGGAAGTTCCATTTCTTAAACATAAGGTCAGGACATGTTAATAAGCACTGCAAATTAGTCAGCTTGATCATCATACACCAATAAAACCACGTCCCTATAAGTATTTGATCCTACAAAATAAGTAATTGTAAGTTTTAGATCATACTTCTGTGTGTACTATGGAAATCAATTAAAATGGACTCCTTTGGGGGGGAAAAACTAGCTCAGAAGAAAACTAATGTTAACTTTGCCATTGCTTTTAATGGAACTGGACTCTACCCGAAATATCGCAATTATACTTTACAGAAATTAATCCAACTGCTTACTTGATCTTTGGTTTTTGATGAAGAAGAGCTTTAGTCTCTCTTTAAATGTGTTTTCATTCATATAGAATTCAACTTGCACCCTGAAATATAAAAGGAAGGATTAGAATTGAATATGAAAGGCAATAAATGTTTTTTTCAAAATAACTTTCCCTAATAATCTCTCTTTCTATATGACTGGAGGAACAAAAAGTGTTCAGTCAAAAGCTTACTGAGATTTGAGTGGTTAATATTAAGACTAAAATTGAAACAAAAATGTAACTAGTTTATCCTCTTCACAAGCAGAATCATTTTCAAAGTATTTGAATGCTCTACACTGAGAAATCAGACACTTCTATGTTTTTTGAATTTCCACTGAAAGTTTATTTCATTGATGTTCAGGTTAAACCATCTGAACTTAATTCTTTCTCTAACGTTGGCATTTTAATGATTTCTTTTCCTATTTGCTTCACAACTTTATTAAGCATTCATGCCTCTGTTAAGTGTTTGCTAGTATCAAATGTTCAAATCATTCTATACCATGCAAACCACCTTCTGAATTTCATTGGTTTTTGTCACAACAAAATTGAGACCTGAAAGCAAGAACATAATGCAGTCATCTGATGCTGTACTGCAAGCAGTTCCTCCTAATTTTGCTAAAGCAACAGTAACTTTTTTCCTGTATTACCCCCCAACTTGCCAGGATCCTGTTTGTGTCTCTGTCCCTCGGTTCAGTCTGAGGGATCTACGTAATAGCTCTCAAATGGGAAGGGAGAACAGTGTTGTAGATATGAGCAAGAGGAAAAAGGTGCACATTAACTGTACAGAAAAACTTAGTCCATTCTAGAGTTGTGGAGCTGCACTGGTTGCAGCTAAGATGAGTGCAGCATTAACTCCATTTTCACTGAAGTCCCTGATACATTCAATTAGCTGGACCTCCCTCACAAATCCTACTTCTCCTGTGGAGAATGCTCATTCACTTCACCCCAGAACAATTCCTGTGCCTCTTTGAGAAGCCAGGCAGTTTGAGAACTGCTGTACTCTTGCTGGAGTTTGCAAAAGCAAATGAGAATTCCACTGCTTCCTATTCAAAGGATTTCAAAAAAGCTTATTTCTAAGCATCTATGTATATTGAAACTATGTTCTATAACTTAAAGAATTTTACATTTATTTCTGTGAAATAACATGTTTGATAGAGTTAAGAGTGTATCATGTGATTTACCAGCTTTCCTGCCCTAACTGGCTCTACCCCTTCTGAGGCAAGATCTGTAAGCAGTTGGAAATAGAAGAAATGCACCTGTCTTCCCCTTCTTAAATGGGAAGAGTAGCCACAACTATGTATTTAGAATAGCTTAGGCATATAGGAATGTCCTAGAGTCCTACCAGTCTAGAGGAAAAGTCCATCAGACAATGAACAGCTTGTTGCTGGGTTCTTCTTTATTGAGGTTAGATGCAAATGGAATGTTATGTTGCTCAAGACTGCAGGAGGCACTGGCATTAACAGAAATGGAGGTTAGACTGTTGGTAATCTCAAGACAAGTTAAAGAATCATAGAATCATAGAATATCCTGAGTTGGAAGGGACCCTTAAGGATCATCAAGTCCAACTCTTGACACCGCACAGGTCTACCCAAAAGTTCAGACCATGTGACTAAGTGCACAGTCCAATCTCTTCTTAAATTCAGTCAGGCTCGGTGCAGTGACCACTTCCCTGGGGAGCCTGTTCCAGTGTGCAACCACCCTCTCTGTGAAGAACCCCCTCCTGATGTCAAGCCTAAATTTCCCCTGCCTCAGCTTAACCCCGTTCCCGCGGGTCCTGTCGCTGGTGTTAATGGAGAAAAGGTCTCCTGCCTCTCGACACCCCCTTATGAGGAAGTTGTAGACTGCGATGAGGTCTCCCCTCAGCCTCCTCTTCTCCAGGCTGAACAGGCCCAGTGCCCTCAGCCGTTCCTCGTACGTCTTCCCCTCCAGGCCTTTCACCATCTTCGTAGCCCTCCTCTGGACACTCTCCAACAGTTTCATGTCCTTTTTATACTGTGGTGCCCAGAACTGCACACAGTACTCGAGGTGAGGCCGCACCAGCGCAGAGTAGAGCGGGACAATCACCTCCCTTGACCTACTAGCGATGCCGTGCTTGATGCACCCCAGGACACGGTTGGCCCTCCTGGCTGCCAGGGCACACTGCTGGCTCATATTCAACTTGCTGTCTACCATGACCCCCAGATCCCTCTCTTCTAGGCTGCTCTCCAGCGTCTCATCGCCCAGTCTGTACGTGCAGCCAGGGTTTCCCCATCCCAGGTGCAGGACCCGGCACTTGCTCTTATTGAACTTCATGCGGTTGGCAGTCGCCCAGCTCTCCAACCTATCCAGATCCCTCTGCAAGGCCTTTCCACTCTCATTCGAGTCCACAACTCCTCCAAGTTTGGTGTCATCAGCAAACTTGCTCAAAATACCTTCTATTCCTACATCCAGATCGTTTATAAAAATATTGAAAAGTACCGGCCCTAAAATGGAGCCTTGAGGGACCCCACTGGACCGCCCGCCAGCCTGACGCAGCGCCATTCACCATAACCCTTTGGGCCCTGCCCGTTAGCCAACTGCTCACCCATCGTATGATGCTTTTATTTAGCTGTATGGTGGACATTTTGTCCAGTAGGATCCTATGGGAAACCGTGTCAAAAGCCTTGCTGAAGTCCAAAAAAATCACATGTCCAGGTGTTAATTAGAAGGTGAACAGGTTGGGGGTAGGGGACTGAGCTCTGCTTCAGTTCTTTTCTGTGCATTTCCCAAAGTACTTACTGTCACTGTGTTAGTGATAGTTTTGGTGGGAAACGTTTCTTTCCCATGACTTGGCAACTGCAACAGAAGTGTATATACTTAATCTTCAAGGATGTGTTTCAGTAGGTAAACAAAGTGGCACAAGCTATTGAAGTGAGAGATGTTATTTAAAAGCAGCACAGTATTGGTTATCTTTTTACACTAATCTTTGATTTTAGCTAAAAAAATTAGTTGACAACTAAAGAACAACATGTTAACAGAAAGCCATGATTTAATGATATCGAAGGAAGAGGATGTGGGAGCTAATCACCCTCCTAGCACTACAGTTAGGAACTGCTCTGCTAGCACTCTAGCAGCTGTCTGCTTCCACCTCACTTTCCTTAGCAGCTAGAGCTTGCAGCAGGCTGGGATTCCACGCTGCTGCAGTTTCCATGGCAAAATGCATCACAAATGCTGCTAACACCATTCCTATGGTTCAACTCCTCCTTCCCCTGGTTGTTTTTGTGGTTTTTGTTTTTTTCAACTTCAGTAAAAACTATTCTGACCTATATTTGCAGGAAATACCTTATCACACACATAATCACGGTAATTTCATAATGCTCTGGCTACTGGACAGAATATTTCACTTAGTAAACAGCAATAAAACCAAAAATAAATGACTGAAGGAGCCACTGGTAGGGATAAGGATGGAAACTGCTGGATACTGTTCTTTTTCAATATTCTGCTTTTTAGTTTTGGGGAGAATGTTTGTTGTATTTCAATCATTGTTGTGTTCTTCAAATGAATAATTGTTTACCCTAAATACTTGCTGTCTTCTCTCTTATTCCTGCTCTGAAGTATAACATAGAAAATGAGTATTTCAGGAACAGAATGTAAATGAGTTCTTATTTTTGCCTGCAATGTTACGATCACCTATTATTACCAGTGAAGGGCTTGCACAAGATTTTTCTGCACTCATTATGCATTAGTTAGGATGTTTCATTGCAATACGTTTATATAAAACAAGGTTACTCTGTTGCAGCAGAAACACTAGTTTCAACACTAATTTGGTTCCAAGCAAATGGACTGGTGATTCTGCTGTTGATGAAATGGCACCTGTGACATGCAGGCAGGGATCTGTGTGTGTAGATCTGGCCTATGGGATAGGTTTGGTTTTGTTCTATTTTCCTAGGGTTTTTCATCTCCACATACACAGCAGTTGTAATGCAGTTTACCCTGATCAGAAAGTAAATCAAGCTGGTGGATTAATGTTAAACACTCATGCTTCATGATGGTTACTGGGACAAAAATGTTTAATGAACACAAGAATATTGTGTACATAGTCGGTCAATCATTTCTAACTCAATCTATGTGGGAGGCGGTGAATATACCATGTGAATCTGCTCTGGGGAGTTAAAGAGCGGATATTTTGCTTTACTTCAGCTTTACTGAAAATGCACAAATACATGGCTAACATATCTTTGGCACAAACAACTGAAGTAATGACTATTGAAAACATTTTATTGGTTTGTGTGTATGCTGTTCATGCTTTAAAAGCTTTTTTCTAGATTTAAATACTATTAGTGGTGGTCTTCCCCCATTTTAAGCTTGGAAGAGAGATGCAAGATATATTGAAAACATTCCACTGACAGTACCAAAGTACAAGTATGGATTGCACTCTACTAATTCTGTCAAAATGTAACTTGACTAATACACTTTAATGTAATACAAAGTATAGCGGAAAAATACTAATTCACATCAAGGACACTAATGCAAAATCCCCTTCTCGTGGCCATGTGTCACTGGAACCAGTTACTTAACTAATTTTTCCTGCATTTTTCCACTAATATTTATAATGTCATTCTAACTCCATAGCCACACTTCACTGTAGTTACTGTATTACCCTGCACCCTCAAATTTACAAATTGCTTTTCTTTTGTGTTAAACAGTAGCAGATGTGACAGAAAGAATCCTTTCAGAAATTGAAGTATGAGTAGGATTTCTCACTATGTGCATACTGAGAGCTGCAAAATGTTTATGCTTAATGTTACTTGACATGAGAACCAAGCAAAGGCATCAACTGTACAAGTGAAACCAATCTGAAGATAACTACCCATTTATTTGAATCTGTCTTTACAGCAAGAGACACTTCATGCTGTCTTCTCTACAAGAAGAGCCTTGTAATATAGACACAATGTTATTTTTAATTGGGATTTGACAATCGAATATATGTGAAATCCTGTTAGATTTCCAACTTGGAAATTAAGTGTGTTGTAGTTGGTGCCTCAAAACAAAGTATTTGAAATACTGAAGTAAATTGTCAGGGCTTACTTTACAATGGAAAAGGA